ATGATCAATGGTGCCTCTTTCAAAATTGTGAATGCCATAGCATCTGGCTTAAAACATGAATCAAATTCAATCACTGAAAGTTGGAGCATAATGCTCAGGTGACCTATAAGGCCCATGGGCCTCTTGTTTTCTGTTTATCCTTCTGAACCCTTCAAAGGTTCCAGACATTAGTTGTTATGAAAGTTAACAAAGCAACAAATGAAGACATTGAAATACAATCTACATGTTTTAATCAAACAATAAAAAAAGCTATATGTAAACAAGAGATATACAAGCAACGCATCTTGTATATCGTAATGAACAAAATCCTAGTACAAAGGGTCATAGGAAAACCTTACTTGCATGAATCAATATATCGTAGGGAATTTCCAACATCATTATGGTTAATGACCTTTTGGTTTTGTCGAAGTAAAAATATACTACTCTAAGCGAAAACTGATTCTTTGAGATGTATTGAAATGTCTCTATTTAAAAATGGTTGATTTATCTTTATATATTTTTTTTAAAAAAGACCTTTGTATTTATTTTTTTTAGATGTAATTCATTAATGTGGACCTAGCTTTGGGGAAAGGAATAATTTCAACAAACCATAAAACTTGGATCTACACTTCCTAAGATGATAAATTAATGTCACTAATTATGATCCCTTGTTTCATTGAGAAGTATTTGAAATATTGCTCTTTGTCCTCATCCGTCGGCGGACATCGTCCATTGTGCGTTAATTTTTTTAGCTCACCTGAGCTGAAAGCTCAAATGAGCTTTTCTGATCACATTTTGTCTGTAGTCCGTCTGTCTGTAAACTTTTCAAATTTCGATTTCTTCTGGAGAACCACTGGGCCAATTTCAACCAAACTTACAACAAAGCATCCTTGAGTGAAGGGGATTTAAATTTGTTCAAATGAAGGGCCACACCCTCTTTCAAGGGGAGATAATTTTGAAATAGTGAAAATTTAGTGGCATATTTTAAAAATCTTCTTCTTAAGATCCACTGTGCCAGGAAAATTAAAACGTTTATGGTAATATCCTCAGGTAGTGTAGATTCAAGTTTGTGCAAATCATGGCTTCCCGGGGATAGGGCGGGGCCATAATGGCCGATTAAAGTTTTACATAGAAAAAATATGAATTTCATATTTTACATGTGTATTTCTTGTGACAAGACCTATCGTTAGGTACTACCAAAGACCTTGACCTTGGAGTTTGACCCATTTTTGTACACAAAAAATTTAAACTTTTACTTCGGTCAGACATTTTGAACAGTAAATACCAGGAATTTTATTATTCATACATGTATTCTATGTGGCAAGACCTTTCATTAGATACCAACAATTTCGACCTCTTGACTTTGGAGATTTCCGTACTTATGAAAAAAAATTTAACCTTGGCCATAACTTTTGAACAGTAAGGGCTAGTGCTTTCATACTTCACATATGTAATCCTTGTGAAAAAACCCTTCATTGGATACAAAGAACTTGACCTTGGAGTTTGACTTACTTTTAAAAAACAAACATTGATCATAACTTTTAAAGGGCCAGTGCTTTCATACTTTACATATTAAATCCTTGTGAAAAGACCTTTAATTTGATATCAAGAACTTTGACCTTGGGGTTTGACCTACTTTTAAAATTATTAACCTTGGCGGTAACTTTTGAAGGGTCAGGGCTGGGGCTTTAAAACTTCACATAATTATGTATTTTTTTGTGTTAAGACCTTTTATTGGATACCAATTACCTTGACATTTTGAATTTACCATGGAAATTTCCACACTTATGAAAAAAATTGAACCTTGGCCATAAATTTCGAATGCTCTCATACTTTCACATATCAGAGGATTAGTCACAAACTTAAAAGGGGGGGGGGCTCAAATCTAAGAAATACCAAAAACTTTTTTACAAGCAAAAAAAAAAAAAAAAAAAAAAGTGGGGGGGCTTAACTCCAGAAAATTCTTTGACAGGCAAACTCGAAATTCCTATTTCGTGGGGGGGGGGGGGGGGGGTAGTGGCCAAATTTTTCAAAGGCAAGTAACTTTCATTTCCAATTTTTTTCCACAATTCTTCGATATAACTATACTAGGGTCAAATAGGGGGGGGGGGGGAACTATCCCTTCAATGAACATTTCCTATAGTAAAGGTAATGTTGGGAAAAAATATATTTTATTTTGTTCTTCATTAAAAAGTGGGGGGGGGGGGCACAGACATACTCTTGCCCCCCCCCCCCCCCCAGATCTGAAAGTGGGGGGGCTAGTGCCCCTGCTGCCTCCCCCCCCCCCCCCCTGTGACTACGCCTATGCATATGTATTTCTTGTGAAAAGACTCTTCATTGGATACCAAGAATTTAGACTCCTTGACCCTGGAATTTGACTTATTTTTTTAAAGAAACCTTGACCATTACTTTTGAGGGGTAAGGGCTAGTGCTTTCATAATTTTATACTCAATCCATTCGACAAGATCTTTGATATCAAGAATTTTGACCCTGGAGTTTGACCTACTTTTAAAAATTTTTAGCCTTGGCCATATATTTTGAAGGTTTACGGCTAGGGCTTCCGTACTTCACATTCAATTTAAGTGTATTTGTGGCAAGATCTTTCATTGGACTGCAATTACCTTGATCTTGACCTTGAAGATATTTCGTACTTATGAAAAAAACTTTATCCTTGGCCTAGTTTCATATTTCACAATTGTATTCCCTGTGAGAATACCCTACTTTGTGTACCAAAGTATTTAAATTTGCATTTAAGAAAAGTTTAACATTCGCTATGTTGCCGTTTGGGGGCATCAGTGTTTCATAAACACATCTTGTTTGAATATGTAATCCAATTAAAAGTTTTGAAAATATTTACAAATAATGTATTTATTTCCATCTTTTTAGTGAAAAATTAAACATGTTTATATGGTTTTTCTTAATATTTTTATTTGATATTCATATGATGCAAATAGCAATTTTTTTAACTCTTAAGTATCTTATTTGCAAATATTTTTTTTTTTCCATTTTTGCGAAAAAATGAAATAAAAAGTAATAAGAATAATATAAAATAATTAAAGGCTTATATTGGCCTTTTAATGCCGAAATCATAACTTACATGTAACAGGTATGTTTGAAATATCTATGAAATAAATATAAGCATTCCTCCGTAAAAGTTCGTGTACTTATGCGATAAGATTAAAACCCTCTCAAACTAAGACGTTTTATCTAATCATTTAAGTTAACATTATCTTTTTTATCTACATATTAAACTATAAGACGCGCGCTTTATCTTTTAATTAATCGTCAATGTTTTTGTAATGGTGTACATGACCACGCGGCGCAAACCCAAACAAATGTAATAAAAGATTTCTCAAAATATATTTATAATTAAATATACATAACGTTAGGTGAAGTGTAACCAAACAATATTCCAAATGATAAGGAAGGGGGTATTTATAGTGATCGGTATGCATAATGGCTTTATGTAATAAAGAATCTGTGAAAGTCTCAATAAATTGTTTTCAATCTATACTATGGCATTTTATTGATATTAAGGAGCTTTTTACAAAAAAATGCTGCAAATTGTGCAAAATGTAAATTTCATTATAATGAGATGGTTTTGGATGAAATGTGTGTATAGATTTCATCAGAATGAGTTAATTTGCATTTTATATTATAGGCATTTTATAATGATAAGGTGCTTATGCAGAATATGTTGTAGGCCTAGATACGGAAAATGAAAGTATTTCATCATGATGTGCATATAATAAAAATGCACTTCTTCATAATGAAATTGCCATTGTATGTAATGTAAATCCACTTCGTCATAATGAAATACCCACAGCATGGATTATAGAAAATAACAACCAGTTATCAAGCTCAAAATTACAATGAAACATACAAATTGGATAGAAACAGGTGTCTTAAAGGAGTAAGCATCCCTTGTTGACTAGCCACACCTCTCATGATGGGATAAACTGAAAAAAAATCTGTAGGCAATTCAGTGAGAAATTAATGGTCTTATAATTTGTACGAAAAAACATCAGTCAACATTTTATATAATTAGGCCTACTTAATTTTAAAACATTAAATTGTAAAATGTATTTGCCAACAAGCCCATTGCATGGGCCATTGCATTTGCGAAATGCTGACTTTAAACATTACTTTTGATATTCGTGTATCATCAATACATTACATATCTTTACAATAATTTAGTAGGGTAATTTTCTTTTATTTGATTCAAAAATAGTTTCTTACATATTGGTACTGAGGTTAAATCTAAAAAATATTGAATAATCATACCTTTTAATAATATTTATTTTTGTTAAATTTTATCACTTAAAATTTACTTTAAATGCCTTGGAGTTTTCACGTATCCTTATCTGTTTAAAACCACATCTCAAATATGTTTTTTGCAAAATACTGATGTTCCTCCTTCGATGCTGTCAGTATTTTGGTGGGAAGAGGGAAAAAACTGGAACTATAGAACAAAGAGAAATCAGTTTGAATCGTTATACTTAAAACTAGCTGTCATACATGTGTGACTGAAAGATTTTCCTTTTTAAGGATCCTCTCCACACTGCTTAATTTTGTATAGTAATACTGACCAAAAATTTAATTTAAATACAATTTTAAAAAATATTAAAATTAAAATCTGCACTAGTACTGTATGGCATAATTTTGAAAAATCCATTCTTAATATTTTATTACACAGAGAGAAAATGAAAACTTTTTTCATGTATTTCATGGATTCCCTCCATTTGAGTGAGCAAATGCAATTTTTCTTTATCATCTCTTAAGTGTCTTTGAAGACTTTTTCTGGGTAAAAAAAGACAGGCTCCCTAAGTTAAAACTAATTTAGTTATCTTTAGAATATTCATTAATACATTTACTCTATATTTTCCTCAAAGTTAAAAAAAAAAGACAAAACAAACAACAACAACAAAAAACACTTTACGTCAGGTGTATAAGGGGTATTTAAAAGGAAAATAAAATTTTTACAACGATTGGTCAATTCAGTATATAACCTACATAAATTGCTTGAATGCAACATTATAGTTTAAATGTCAAATAAGGCAGATGTGTTTATTAGTTTAAGGTGCTTGGAGTTTCTTGAATGATTTTCGAATTAGTGGAAATATATAGTTACAGATAAGGTTGTATTTTTAAGATTCTATAATAATTATTTTTTTTTAAATAAATGTCTTATTTTCAGTTCAAGTAGTCGGACTGTTAAAAAAACAATAAAATTTTAAGCTTAAAGTCACATTTTTAAATATTATTTGAATGTCAGTTGAAGTATGGTACATAGTACATATTTGTAGTGTTTGTTTGAATTTATTGGCCTTTATATAGTAGCAGGTGAGATTGGTTTAGTTTGGTTGTGAGGATGTTAACCCACGCGTGGTCTTTGTAACTACATGTACATAAATATATAACATCAAGAAGACATATTATTTTGTAATGAAATATTTGCGGAGAAGCATCTTCATATGTTTCAATTTTTCCAATTTAATTTTTTTTTTTATCGTAGTTCACATTTAAATTTGAAAACTCAAATGTTTTTCGATCTTGATTGACATTGTGGCTTGTTTCGCAACAGAAAATTTGCCTGCAAATGGCATTTTGAAACTATTTGATTTTTTTTTAAATCGTTAAATTCAACGATGGCATTATCATGAATACAAATAAAATCATTGTTTTAGTTATAAATTTTTAGAAAACCGTTCACATGTTGAACTTGTGTAACTGCTTTGGCTACTATCAGATTTTTCTAGGTAATCAACTGTTGTTTCTAAATACACGGCCTATTGCCGCTTAATCTGAAAATCTTTACTGGAATGTCATAGCATGTTTTCGAGAAACAACTTTTTCTGCAAGTTGCTTTGTTCTACGATTATGAACGTCTGATTTTTTGGAAATATTTTGGAAATGTGATGAGACTTCGTGTTTTCCAAGAAGCCCAATCCCAAGAATAACTGGTGATTTAAATATCTGATGATTTAAATATCTGACTATATCAGTTTCAGTTTCAGTTTCTTAATTTTTTTTTTATATAAAGCAATCGGATCACCTCGCCCTTTAGCGTGCGACGGAAAAGGGCGAGGTGATCCGATTGCGGTGTATATATAGTCACGTTTTTTTTGTTCCTCTGAGACCTATCCTAACATTGATCAATTTATGAGATTGCAATGGTATAGTCAAAATCAAGATATTGTTTTTATATATGTGCCCATCATTGGAGTGACCACAGATATGTGCGAATTCAAATGTTTTAATCTTCTCATTAAAGATCTACATACGTTAGAAAATTGAATTTTCAAACAAGAAAATAAAACTATATTTTCTGTCACGTACGAAAAAGATAACCATATACTTCAGTAATATATGTGATAAGGAAATTCTTGTAAACGTGATTGTCTTGGCCAATTGGATTCTTTCTAACTTGTGATTTATAATTTATAAATTTACTTATTTATTTTTCATAATCTAGCTTTATAATAATAAGTTTTGGTTAGCACTATTGGGCTTCAGTACATTCTATATTTTTTCACGACATAAACTACCCTAGCTTTTTTTCTTTCTTTCTTTTCTTCTTTTTTTTAAGAATTTCTTTGCTGCATGGGAAGCCTTTTCATCAGCAATCAATTTTGAATGGGTTAAAAGATATCATTTGTGTTTATTCTGAAAAACAAAATTATTTGTAGATCTAGAGGTGAATATAATCACAGTATAAGAATCCTGTGGTTTCCTTGAATTCCTACAGCTCATTCAGAAGACAGTCATGGAGAATGACGTTTCAGAAAGGTAAAGTGGCAACCTTAATCTACTTACTATTGCTATATCGGTTTAAGAAGGAAATATTCTAAGACTAAAAAATCAATTTTATATTATTGCTTATTAGGTGAATTCATTTATGTCTTGGAAAACTGTAAAGAACTGGAGCGGAATAGTGTTTAAAACTCAATATAGTGTAAATATGACTTCAATGTTTTATACAATTATTCAATCAGGATGTAGAATGTTATTTTTATTTATCTTCTTGTACAAAAAAATTGGAGATATGAGCAGTTATCAAGCTCAAATGTCCTCTTAAACAATACAATTTCGGAGTATAGTAATTACAAGCCTCTAAAACACAAGAACAGGGATCAGATGCCATGGAGGAGTAAACATCCCTCGTCGATCGGTCACACCCGTCTTGTGCTCTTCGTCAAAAACGGTTAAATGAAAGAAAATCCGTTGATAAAAATTCAGAGTGTAAATAATGACCTTACAAGATTTTAAAAACGTCAGTCAGTATTCGACTTATTTAATGTTTAAGTGTATTTTCCGATAACAAGGGAGTGACCAAACGCTAAGAAATTAAGGATCGGCTCCGAGTGAAAGTGATATTGTATCTTTTTATGATAAGCAAAATGCTAGCTTACAAAAACCCAGTTTCTTACGTCTACATTATATTTACAGTGGCGTAGCATCGTTTTTGAAAGTGGGGGGGGGGGGCAGCCGGAGAAATTTTTTTTTTACTTACCTGAAAAAAATTGACAAGCAAAAAAAAAAAAAAAAAAGAAAAAGTTGAAAGTTGCCCAAAGGCGAAAATCCTATTTCGTGGGGGGGGGGGGCTAACTTTTTTTACAGTGTCAACTACTTTCAGTACCAATTTTGATACTTCATTTTCGGTACATCACTAAAACTCGGGGGGGGGGGGGGGCAACCAGGTTTTAAATAAACATTTGCTATAGTATAGCTAAGGCTGGAAAAAAAGTGGGGGGGGGGGGCAGGCCCCCCCTGGCCCCCCCTGTTGCTACGCCCCTGATTTACCTGTGAATACTAAGTATATCTACAAGATAAGATTCAAATAACTTTTTGCTAGATTTGAGACTCTTTTGCAGATCCCCGGGCCCATCAAAGATTGTTCGAGGAGGATTTGTTCTTCTGTTGATTGCCCTTTTATTGTACGCTATTGCTTTACCATCCCCATTCTGGATACACGGATCTGATGAAAAAAATATTACCACTGGAATAGAATTTACCAAAACAATAGAATTTACCTTTGCCAATAGAAAAGAATTTTCCAGCCTGGGAATCTGGTTTTATTGTACAAGTGACCATCAAACTTCGTGTACGAACTTCCTCGGTTACAACATGAATGGGCTTAATGGTGGTAAGAAGATTAGCACATACACATGTCATACATTTATAGTAAAAACAATAAGCCTTGCATAAATTTAACAATCAGAAAGAGACAGAATATAAGCAACAATAAATCACTAGTCTTTTTAATGTTTTAAAAACGTTAAATGTGATTCATTTAGTCTTTCCTTGGTCTTTCATGTTATTTGTATACAAACAAAAAAAATCAATTTTGGTTATCAATGGTTAAAAATCGTCAATTATCAACTTTTAACAAATATAATCGAGAAAGAATTTTTTTGGTATTAGAATGAGCTAAACTTTAAATTTAGTTCCATTCTTATGATAAAGAAAAATCTTTTTGATACATTTTAAAGCTTTTGTACTTTATGCATTTCATTTTTTTTTTTTTTTTAGTTTTGTTACGGGTTCTACAGGGAGTGTCAGGCACTGTGCTGCTTTTATTAATAATTGCAGTTGTCACACTGGGTATAAAAATGTGTCAGAGAAAAGATAAGAACGTGGCATTGGTAATAAGCATGATCACCAATGCTGTTGCAGGTAGGCGAAAGACCGTTATGCTACAATATCTTTAATTAGCTAATAGAGAATATTAAGGATTGAATGATCATTCCAAGCATTATTTGAATCAAAAATCTTGAAATATTAAACAAGAATCAAATAAATGTGTACTTTAAATTTAATTCATTGTTTGATTCTAATTGCAAACATTTCGTACTGATCGCGAGATTGTTTTTGCCAAACTTAAAAAGCAATTGGTAATCTAATAAATATACCTGTTAGTTTATATAATTGTAGCGATATAATCACGATATAGTGATACAAAGAAACATGTATACAAAGTCAAAGACCAGTACAGATCTCTTGAGCAGTGGCTGTTCCATCAAATAAAATTACTATGACGTACACATCAATATTACAATAATCTTTTTAATCCTACTTAAAATTATTGACTTTACAGATAATATACATATAAACAAAAAATGTTTTTCTTTGGCTGTTAGTACGGGAATTAATGTTGCAGTTAGTGCAGAGTTATTTATATGAACTTTTTTGCTTGATAAAAATAAATTTACTTGATAGTGCGCCCCTTCCCCGTAACATTTCTTTTGATTGGCCTTTTCCTAGATACTACATTAACCAGTCTTTTTAAAGAAAAAGTTACATCACAAATTACAAATCTAAACATTATTTGGTGAACAGTTGGGAGAATTATGATTTCTTTTTAGAATACATGGTAATATTTTAAATGAGCTAACATCTTTCCATATAAACCCAAAAAGCTTATCATCTACCATTATCTCTCTCTTGAAATTTATTAATTATGACTAAATCAAAGTCTGCAAAGATAGGAATATGTGTACATGTAATTCTAAAGGTATAAAGACTGTATGCATTGAAAATAAATAGTATTAGTTAATCCTTTGCTGAATGTAGATGATTGATAGTGATGCATAAAATGGCTAAATGTTATGTAACGTGTAATGTATAATGTAATAATAATTAGGTCCAATGCTTTGGCTTGTTTGGTTGTTTATAACATGTTTCCATTAATCTCCATGGTTAAGATAGAATGAAGTTTCCAAGATCGAGCTATCACAATAATTTTATTGAACGACTTGACCAACAAGCCTTTGCTAAATCTAGTACCGTCATTATGACATCAAGACAATAATATCTAGAAAAGAAAGGAAAGGGCTTACGAGAAATTTGGGATTTGAGGGATTGTTTTTTGTTTACAAAAGACAAATAATAATTTAATATCTGCTAGTTCCAAGACAAACTAACAATGTCAAGGTATTGCGATTTTGGAACGCCACGTAAACCCTTGACATTTCGCTTTTTAAAAGTTTCGCATATATGGTTACACATATATAGACTAACCAATGAGAATTTTTTAAACTATTTTTTTTCAAATGGCCCAACTCAAGAGCATATCTTTTTTGATTGTAAGGAGGATTATCTTCCAAATATTAATTCCCGATGTTTCGTTTATTTTAAAGTAGCAATTCACATATCCTACAACAGTCATATTTGTTCACAAAACTTATTTACAATAAAAGTTGTTTTCTGATTGGTTCCAGTCCTAGACCAGAAAAAAGTGAAATAGTAGCTTCTAGCCCAAAATTTAAATAGAGACTTATGCCAATGGTTTGTGTGGAAATCACAAAATCTTGACATTGTGAGGAGGACTTAATGACAATCGAAGAATTTTTCATCAAAAAATGTTCTATGTAATATATGTATGTTTTGTTTATTGCTGGTAATCGATGGTATATTTTGACCTTTGGTTGAGAAACGATTTATTTTTATTTTTCAGCCTTTTTGCTCCTCATTACAATAGCTGGGATAGCCGGAGGTATGTATGTTATCCAGACAATTGTTCCAGATGGTCGTCTCCATTTTTCTTTTTTCCTTGCTGTCGCTGCAGAGATTCTCTGTATTGTTGTCGAGGTCCTGATGTGTATCCAAAGATGTTCCGCTTAGATGGAATAATTCCGGTATAAAATAATTCCATTCATCTTAAGGGGGGGGGGGGACCTATGTCGTTCTACGTCAAAGCAGCGTTATGTGACGTCACAATAGCGACGTTTGTTTTTTACCTGTTCACTTTTGCAACTGTGATATAGGCATAACATTGTTAAAGTCAATAACGTACACAATTTACAAAAAAGAAAATATATTCATCAATAATAACAGTTTTATTTGATTTAGTTAATATTAGAAACTCCTTCGGTTGATAATTCATATCGATTTCAGTTAAGAAGAAATACCTCGATGATATGCTGATATATAAGTGCAAAAAGATTTATAAGATAAAATTTAGCAAAGAAAGCGACTTAAATCGGGGAAATATGTTTAATTTTATGTTTACCATTAATTGTATTTTCTGGATAAACTAAGAAAAAAAAATTAAGAAATGCACTTGTACCTATATTTGCTTATTGATTTATACCACATGTAGATTTTATTGTATAAAGTCATTCCTAGGTTCTAATAGGTGTTGGTTGTTGACGGGAAAATGGGGGGGGGGGGGACAGAATGATTACATAAAGAATGAGGAAGAAAAGAATTAATCTGTTTAAATTGTTTTTAATCAAAGCAAAATACTCGTTTTCGCAAAATAGTTTTATATTCAGGTGTTTGTCAATGCATACTTACCCTTTTTTTAGTGCAGAAAGGTCAATATTTATGACACAAGAGTACGAAAATAAAAGAAAACGTCATATTTCTCGTTTATTTTATCATAAAGGTATACTTTTTTCTTTGTTAAAATAAAGAGATAAATTATTTCTTTCAAAAAATATGAATTACAACATTTTTAGACAAAGACTTTTTAAGATATTGCCTGTTATGCATGTCGGAATTGTAAAAAATACGACAAGAAAAACGGGGTGATACTTACATTGTGCTCCTTTATAATTTTTCATGCGAGATGAATTACAATGAAGTTGCCTTCATTTTAAAGACACAAGTCATATACATTAAATACATGTTTATTTCGAATGTGATTTGACATTTTTGGTTCTTTTTAGCGCATATTTGGAGTAGAACAATAATGTCTTAAAATAATCTATTTTTAGCATTTCACACTGTTTTTGCACGTGCTCCTGTGTAAAAATAAGCATATAAAGGTATTGTTTTTAATACCTAAAAATTATGAGCAAGTGATCAGGAAAGAAATGTCAAAGTTTTGAAAATTTCACACAAAGACTTTTCGGACATAGGTCCCCCTTAAGCAAAATTAAAGTGAAATTTCATGAATTATATAAGATATCAGTAACAGTATATCCGCACAAATATAAGTATACATGTATATTATTGTATCACAAATATAAGTATACATGTATATTATTGTATCACAAATATAAGTGTAGATGTATATTGTTGTATCACAAGTATAAGTGTAGATGTATATTGTTGTATCACAAACATAAGTGTAGATGTATATTGTATCACAAGTATAAGTGTAGATGTATATTGTTGTATCACAAGTATAAGTGTAGATGTATATTGTTGTATCACAAGTATAAGTGTAGATGTATATTGTTGTATCACAAATATAAGTGATGTATATTGCTGTATCGTGTTTTTCTTACATTATTTTAAAGAATACCAAGATGATGTCGAGTAGAAAAAACTTCTAACAAGAATAAAAAAAGATGTTTAAAGTACTAGTATTAAATTGAGTATTAGTTGTGACTGTGACTTTTGCTTAAGATAACACAAACTACCTGTAACTATTTCTTGACAATGCTTGCAGAAGTTCTATATGCCAACATGAAATAAAAACTTTTACGACAAGTATGATATGTAAATCGTCTTTTTATAATGACCTCAACATTTCAAAGAAAACGTCAATCTTTCAAAAATGTTAATGGCCCTTTGTCCATGAATTCTTTTAAGATAGAGATGTTAATTTATCCATCAGGATTATTTCAAAAATACACATCAGAGCAGACCAAAACATCTAGTAGGATGGGATCAGGTGCCATTAAATGGAGAACATTCCCTGACAACCAGGCACGCCTGTCGTGTGTTCTTATTATTGAAAAATTTGTAGACAATTTGTACATTAATACAATTTATAATGGCTTACAATTTCTGAGTAGTATTAAAACACGTCCATCAGCATTCTACTAAATGAAAGATTGTATTTACTGACGACGTCATTGAACTGACCATAGACCTTGCAAAATGTTGACTTTCAACGAGACTATTGATATTCCTGTTTTATCTATTGTTTCTCAATAACTACTTTTTAAGAATTGTTCGTAACGTTGAACATCTCATGCGAATCGGTCAACCGAAAGAAAAAGACGAGCATATTGCTACACAGGTAAAGAAAATGGACAATTGAAAAGACATAACGTTTATCATAAAACTTTCAATTGGCTGTCGTATCACCAACAAGTTTATCTTTTAAAAAAGATAATTATGTGAGCTAGCACCTTAGAATTTTTTTAATACAGAAAGAAAGGTCCGTAATCAAGTGATTTATTTTGCTGAATTTTTTAATGTTTATCGAGTCTGGGGTGTGATAAAGTTATAATTTTTTGTGAAGTGTATTTTATAGACATATGGGTAAAGAAACAATGGGGGTGGAGTTTTTTTGTTGACCCATTGGAGTTTCCAGAGAGTTCCGAATGTGAAGATGTGAAGAAGCTTGACCCTTTAGGTCATCTTTGTCAAGAACTGTTTGGTAAAAAGGCATACACAGAATTTTTAAAAATAAATAATGTATTTGTCCGTAATTTTTAGTGTAAATCCTTGTTTATGGATTTTTTTCCTTGGCCTACATTGCCATGATTGCGAGCATTTAAAATATAGTTTTACTATAGTGAGGTCTTGAAAAAAAGTCTTTAACATAACTTTATCTTTTGCTTAGACTTAAAAAAAAACTCTCTTGTCTTTCTATAGAACAATCAGATAATGACTCGGGCTTTTCCGTCAGAAAAAAGGGAAAATTTGAAGTATTACAATTATGTAGTTATCTTTAATGTTTAAGATACACAGTAAATAAACAAAGTTATTTAAAGGTACTTGGACACAGATTTGAAGTTATTATTTTCTCTATAATATTACGACTTATATATTTTAAGACCATTTCACACAAAAATTAATTAAAAATCTTATTTCATTTAAAAGATATTGAAATTTCAAATTTTTCGGCGGGTTTGATTGACATATCCTTGCACTCTCACAAATTTAATTTTATTCTTAATCCTTAGGAAAAGTGGCAATCTCGTTTTGTATAAATGAAAAATATTACTACTATAATCCAGAAAATTCAGAGTAGACACGTTCGAAAGCAAAACAAACACACAATATATTGTCAGTCCGTGCAGTTGTGGGAAGCAGACTGTGACGATTGAACGCACCCGGTGAATTCTAAATATAAACAATAACAGAACTCGAGCCCTGTTTACAAAAACTGTGTACATAACACGAGTGTGCTCGATTTGCTAAACTCTGTACGCATCTCTTAGTTCGGAATGACGATACTTGTGAAGGTGTTTTGCTTTCTAACATTTCTACTCTGAATAAAATTATTTTTCTTGATAAAAGTTTTAATATTTCTCATTAAAACACATCAAAATTGCCACTTTTCCTAGGGATTAAGAATAAAGTTAAAATTTGTGAAAGTGCAAGGATGTGTCAATCAAACCCGCCAAAAAATTTAAAGTTTTGATAACTTTTAAATGAAATAAGATTTTTAATTAATTTTTGTGTGAAATGCTATTCAAATATATAATTCGTGATATTATACAGAAAAAATGAGAAAATATTAACTTCAAATCTGTGTCCAAGTACCTTTAATGATACAACGAAATTTTTATCGTACGGTCTATCTATAATAGTTTTCACAGTTTTCCCAGAATTCACGACCTTGAAGCCGAGCATGCCTATCTAGGAATTTGGACTAACGTAGTTGCTAGCGCTCGAGAGCGCTAGCAATAACGTTTTTTCCTTTCACAATATCCAAATATGAAACTCGTAATACGGAAGTATGGAACGCCATAGCTGTCTTATGTGGCTATTTCATATTATGCTGTGGTTATTTTATATGAAGATGGTGCTCTATTAAATTATGCTGTGGTTATTTTATATGAAGATGGTGCTCTTTTATATTATGCTGTGGTTATTTTATGTGAAGATGGTGCTCTATTATATGAAGATGGTACTCTTTTATATTATGCTGTGGTTATTCTTTATGAAGGTGGTGCTCTATTATATGAAGATGATGCTCATTATGTAAAGATGGTGCTCTTTCATATTATGCTGTGGTTATTTTATATGAAGATGGTGCTCTTTTATATTATGCTGTGGTTATTTTATATGAGGATGGTGCTCTATCATATTATGCTGTGGTTATTTTATATGAAGGTGGTGATGTGGTTATTTTATATAAAGGTGGTGCTTTATTATATTATGCTGTGGTTATTTCATGTGAAGGTGTTTTTTTAAGTGAAGGTGGTTTTAAAAATATATATATATTTAATGTCAAGATATTCCTCATAGTTTTGAAGATTAAGTTTAATACTGAGTTTAAGAGCTAATATCTCGAAAGGTTGAAAGTAAAACAAAAACTAGTGCCAGTAATTGGTTTAATTAAAATCATTGAATACACTATTGCTAATTCCTCTTTTTTGCCATTATGTACGTGGTTTCAGGTTGGTGTACTTTGTGTATAACTAATGTTTTCCTAGGTGTGACTAAATACACTCGAAAACATAAAAAAAAAGATTATAGCACGTTTTAAAAATGTCGTTTTACTGTATATAGGTATGACAGTTGCCATTTTCAGAAAATCCAGAGGGATTTGTTGTCTCTGTCATTCCGGGACGCCTCTATATTCTACGTAGTTATATTTGTCAGTTCCATTGCTTTCACTTTCAGGTCATTAATAATAAGTAAATATCAAGAATAATTGCGTTGCGTAGTTTCAAGAATCATCTATAAAAACTTTTGGAAAATCCCCAGAACTATAAACTTTTGTATTAGAATTAAAATTAGTTTA